TCTTGGCAAGATTTGTTCAGAGGAGATTTGCCATTGCCTTCCCCCTGAGGCTGAAAGTGTGTGACTTGTCCAGGGTCACCCAGTGGATCTTGTAGGCAAACTGGGAATCAAACCCTGGTCTTCAGAGTCATAGTCCAACTCTCAAACCACTGTGCTACCTAATGAAATATCTTTGATATTGGACTGAAGTCAGCATGAAATTCATTTATGTTTCATATACACTTTATACACATAGCCTGAAGGTAATTTTAAACACAATATTTTTAATATTTTGGTGCGTGGAACAAAGTTTGTGTACAGTGAGCCATCAAAAAGGAAAGGTGTCACTATTTCAGTCCCCCATGTGGACAGTTTGGGGTTTCAGAGGTAAGGAAGGCTCAACCTGTAGTATAACTATTGTTAAAAATTGCATCCTTTCCCCATTCTGTTTAAAAGCTTTTGTGAATGCGGCTCAGGCCTTTTCATTATGCAACCTAAATTTTTATTTTCTCTCCTCTGTTGTTATTAAGTGACTTCACATTGGTCTCGACCCATGGCAACCCTATAGATGAGACATCTCCTGCCACCCCATCCTCTACTGCTCTGCCCAGCTCCTGCAAACTTATTTGTGGTTATTACTGGTATTATAATTATTTTTCCCTCCTCTACCTTTTTTTTTTTTTTGGTAAAGGTGTTTGCCATCCAAAATTTAACTCTTTGACTTGTATTCTGATAAAAGTGGCTTATTAGTGATACATATTAATGGTTCAACATAGGTGTTGCTTGGACCTCTGGGATTCCTCTCTCCATGTGTGGTTGGAGTCTATGTTGCAGTATTTTGAGCATAATTTTGCTTACATGGGAGATTGCAAGAAAGGAAGAGGCACTAGGGATCACACTGCAAATATACAATGGCTAGTAGAGCATAGCAGGGAGTTCCAAAAGAAAATCAGCATGTGCTTTATAGACTATAGCAAAGCCTTTCCACTGATCATGAAAGGCTATAGAACTCCCTTAAAGACATGGGAGTGCCAACACATCTGATAGTCCTAATGAGGAATCTGTACTCAGGACAAGAGGCTACTGTCAGAACAGAGTACAGAGAAACAGAGTGATTCCCAATTGGCAAAGGAGTCAGACAATGCTGCATCCTATCACCCTACCTATTCAACTTATATGTAGTTAGACTTAGACTGTTGTACTTTGATCACATCATGAGAAGGCATGAATTGTTGGAAAATACAATAATGTTAGGAAAGGTGGAGAGAAGTAGAAAGAGAGGAAGGCCACATGAACTTTATTAAAGAGACCATGAATATGAGTTTGCAGGAGCTGGGCAGAGCAGTAGAGGACAGGGGGCCTGAAGATGTCTCATCCATAGGGGTGCCATGGGTGAAGACGTATGCGAAGGCCGTTAACAACAACAAACAATAGGTGTTGCACAGTTATCTTATATAATTGAACGTAACCATGTGGGTAACCTTCTTTTAATTCATTACTGTTATGGCTGAATGTCTTGAGAAATTTGCAGCTGTCCACTTGGTGCCCTGTGCCTGCTTGAAGCATCTTAATTGTTGACTTTATGTTTGTTACACAGCTACTTTTTTTATAAAAAAAAAAGGTCTGGAAAGACAAAAGGTGTGTGCATATAGTGGGATGGATCTGAACTAGCTGGTCAAAAAGTACTATATATACTCATGTATAAGTTAAGAAAATTTTAGTCAAAAAATTCACCCCAGAAACCTGAATCAACATTCCCATGGGGCTGTGTAAGTACTGTACTTTAACTCTTACTTAAAAAAGAACCATCCCCTGGTGAAAGGCAAGATCTGTCCTGGATGCACTGACCTTCCTGTGCTCTCTCATCTATCCAGCCTTGTGTGAGCACAAACAGTTACGCCTGATGAATTTTGTAACTTCTTTGGTATTGTTTTCCTTTGCTTCATGCTTTAAATCCTTTGTTACATGCCCCTAAGTTTTACCTTCAGCTTATTCACGGATCATATCAAAATCCATAATTTTGGCTCCAAATCCTTCCCTCAACTTACACATGAGGTCAATTTATAGTTGAGTATATACAGTAATAAAAACACATGATCTTGAGCATTACTGAAGTTTAATCTTTGTGTGTGTGCGCGCATGTGCACCTTCAAGTTGCCTGTGGACCTATGGTGAATTTCATAGGGCTTTCTTAGGCAAGGAATATAGAGGTGGTTTTGCTAGTTTTTTCCTCTGAAATATACCCTACAGCTGGTATTCATTGGCAGTCACCCATCCAAGTGCTACTCAGGGTTATCCTGCTTATCTTCCAAGATCAAACAAGATCTGGTGCCTTTACGGACTTAAGTTAACATTAAAGCACTCTAAAAGTTGCTTGAATGTAACTTATTCTCTGGATGAAGATGTAACAACTGTGATTGTGAATTTTTTGGTTCATTGTTCACTTGTGTTCTGGCATTAAAAGAGTGATAAAACTTCATCTATGATTGTATATTGTTAATTGATGGCTGCAAATTAAACATGGATTGGTTACCCTGATTTTTTTGAGAATGAGTTTAGAAATTGTATGCATTCCTCCTTAGTCCAGATTAAATACTTGTAGCTGCTCATGTGTAGCAATTTTTCTTTTGACTGCTAATAACGAGTGTGAGTAAATTGATGCTTTTATTGCCTTTGCTTGGAAGTGCCTACTTTTTATGTCAACTTCTTTTATGATTTCCTGGAAATGTATTCAAACCATACTGCCAAAATACCAGTTTCCTTATGTGAATTGGCATTAAATTGAGAGGTGGTTTGAGCTTTAGGGTAAAATGAAATGAGTTAAATGAAAACTGAAAAACAACACTCAGGTGTATAATGCCTCTGATTTTTCTGGGTTTATCTGAGTTAAATGTTACAGTTTACAGTCAGCCCTCCACATTTGCTGGGGTTAGGGGTGCAGGATCTTTCAGTTAGTCTTCCCATATTTAACAACAGAGAAAGTATCATTAGTGAATTCAACCAACTGCGGATGCCTTTGAGGTGGCAGTGTTCCTTTATGAGGCAGAAGTGGGCAGCTGGTGGGTCTTGCTGCTTCCTCTACGGCTATTTTATGCCATTTTTAACAAGGATTTACAAGCCTCCTTCACAGTCTCTCAGTCTCACGACGCTTGCAGTCTCTATTAAAAATGGTGTAGGGCAGTAACGGAGGCAGCAGCCAAAAATTTATGAATAGTCAAAACTGCAAAAGTGAAACCCATAAATGTGGAGGGCCAACTATTTGTTTTGTTTAATATATTTAATCCTGCCCTTACTACAGTGAACTCAAGATGGCACACGTGGCTTTGCTTATCCACACTTTATTCTCAGAGCAGCTTTGTGGAGAAGGCCAAGCCGAGACAGAGACTGACTCAAGTGAGTTTCATGGCTCTGTGGAGACTTAAGGGGCTGAGCAGATAGGCCAGGGTGACACAGGCTGAATGCATGCTATTCTGGCCTGAGTGCTCACCCAGGTTGGTCTCCAGGTCGGCACAGGGCACAAGTGGATGTTTACTCACCTGTCCCTGCACTGTCCCAGGACCTGCCACTGGTGCATGCTTCTTAAATTTGCCACACCATCGCTCCTACTTAGAAGTCCCCCATCGCCATGTCTGATGCAGAAACATGGGGTCTCTGTTCCCACGTGGCTAGGCACTCTATTTCCATGTGACCGAGGGGACTTCTCAGTAGGAGCGATGGTGCGGCAAGGTAAGGAGTGCAGGGGACTATTTAAACAGCCAGGATTTGCTGCAAGAAGTAAGTAAGCAGGTAAGAAAAATGAAAGGAACATCATATTCTTGGAAATGAACAACTTAGTAATCAGTGTGCTACTACATTTTTTAGAAATAAACAGCAGAGGGAGTGCATGCTAACAGAGCTAATGTTATTTCTAATCTATCACTGCAGGAAGAACAACTGCTTTGATCAGTGATACCAAATTAGTCAGCATGGTAGAAGGAATGCCACTGCCAGCTTTTATGGTAGCCTCAGACCCAGAATTCTTATCAATCTGTGTTTCACTTGGTACTGAAATAATTAGGTGGGAAGTTTTCCTTAACATTGAATATAAATTCCTGCAATTTAAATGCTTTGTTCTGCCTCCAGAGAAGTGCATCTGTACTGCCCAACAAGCTTTCTGACCACACTAAATGAGGCCCGGGTTTTAAAAGTGACTCGCATTAAGTGACCCTACCAGACTGAAATAACACTATTGCTCTCATTTTGCTCCAGCAGGCATTCAACTAAATCGATTGGCAGCATAAGAGATATTTGATTTTGTTAGGTCTTCCTCATATTAGGGAAGACCTGACATGCACACATGAATATGCTAGTATGTATTCATAAATGCAGTGGCTCAAGTGGTTAAGGCACTGATTCACTTGATTGCAAAATTGGCAGGTTGGCAGTTCAAGGCCCGGGTGCTGCATGATGGGGTGAGATGGGTCCCTGCTTCTGCCAGCCTAGCAGTTCGAAAGCATGCAAATGCAAGTAGGTACCACTTTGGTGGGAAGGTTAAAAGCATTCTGTGCAATCATGCTGGCCATATGATCACAGAATAGTCCTCGGACAATGCTGGCTCTTCAGCTTAGTAATGGAGATGAGCACCACCCCCTGTGGTTGGACACAACTTGACAACAGGGAATACCTTTACCTTTATTCATAAAATACAAGAACATTAAACATTCATAAACATTAAACAGGATAGGTTTAGAGCTTCCATGTCCTGTACATAAGAAGTACCCCATGTATTTGGTAGTCTGCATCTATTGATGAAGGTGGTAGAATCTCATTTCTTAAGGCTGTTAAATAGAAAATTCTGCAAGCATCTATTGCTTTGAATGTAGGGTAAGGAAGGATTAGATTACTTCAGGATGGGACTTCTGCAGTCACCTGCGCCCTCTGAATCACTAAATGGGTTGGCTGGATAAAAATTATCCCAGCACATCTCGGGTAATTAAAAATGCCATTTCAGCCACCCCATCCCAAAACAGAAAAAAATATAACCCTAAATGACCCCAAGTGACCAAGAATGACATAATATAACTTTTGGTTGAACAAAATGTGGGTCATCACTGTGTGCTGTGAACCTCTGGAGTGACTAAACATTAGGGGATGTTATCCAGACCATGCCCATATCTGGTTTAGACAAATAGGGGATTAATTTCAA